ATTCAGATTCTGCATGCTGGTAATTATAGCAGCAATTTCTAGCTTAATAACCATCTCTTGAGAGCTGTATATGAGAGAAAAGTAAGGTTCTCAATTCCCACAAGACAGAAAATGAAAGAATCGTGGGCTCTATCCCAAGTATGACTCTTTTGAAGAAAAATTATGAACAGTCTTCATTCTGAAAACTTTTGAATGTCTTTTGTGATAGCATGAATATAGAAAATGACTAAGCCATTAAAACAGATGGATGGGACTTTTTTTCCTCTTAGGAATCAATTTATAGTATTTGTATTTTTTTGTAATAATAGTGTATATTTTAATGGTGCTTTGCAGTATGTAAGGCACAGTGTATATAGTGTTTTTATATATTTACTTTGCTTCATTTGATCCTTAATTCCTCTGCTTAATAGCAAGTTGTTCATGTTTGTTGAATGAATATCCCATGAGGTAGATAAAGCAACTCAATTTATGGATAAAGAATCAAGCTAGGACGTTCAGCTACCAATTTGCAAGCTGTTGTTGGTCCTTAAATGTTTACTGGTACGTAATGAAACAAAAAATTAAGGGTAATTTTGTCATGCAGTTGCCAACTGTCCTTTCTTGGAAATGATTGATTTCCTTTACTCTGAGACTGTCTTCCACTTTTTTAGGGGATGTTCAAGGGCTTTTTCTTATATGAAATTATATGCCATTCCCTTCTCCAGGGAATCTTCCCAACCCAGGGATTGAACCTGTGTCTCCTGCATTGCCAGCAGATTCTTTACCGTCTCAGCCACAAGGGAAGCCCTATGAAATAACAGTCCTGATAAATTTGTTGGTGGGTTTTAATAACACTCAACTTCGTAAAGAATAATTTGGCGGTTTCATGTAGGTCTCCCAAATTGTTTTTGAAATTTTAGTTGTCTGAGGCATCCAAGTGACTGTACCCCACTAAGCTTTTTTCTCCCACAGGAAAATTAAAATTTGATGACTCTTTACTGAAAACAACTGTAACATTGACTACAAAACAGTAGCCTTCTATTGAGTGCCTACTGCTGTCTTCTGCTTTATGTGCCTCCTCTCATTTCCTCCTCACAGGAGCTCAAGGAGGAAGGTGAGACTCTCCTTTCACGGAAAAAGAAATAGAAACTTCTGTGAGGTCCCATAAGTGGCAGTTTAAGATTTAAACCTACATTTGTCTGATCTTGAAGCCTATTCTCTTCACTATTAGGCCATTTTACCTCCTTTCTACATATTCTAAGGTAAACTGTTTGACCAGTTTTAAATTTTGAAAATTTTGAATAATTACACTTCAGTTTCTTGGTGTCTAATTACGGGATTCCGGCACAGCTGATGTGACTAAAGTAGAAATATAAGAGCTGGAGGAGTAGGTTGAGAAAGAGCGTTGCAAGAAAGAGTGAAAAAAACATCTACTTGTTTCTCACAGTTCCGGCCTTCTGAAAGTTGTTCATGTTCAGTCGCAGAGTTACGTCTGACTCTTTGTGACCCCAGGGACTGCAGCACGCCAGGCTTTCTTGTCCCTGACTCTCTCCTAGAGTTTGCTCAGATTCATGTCCATTGAGTCGATGAAGCCATCCAACCATCTCATCCTCTGTCGTCCCCTTCTCCTCCTGCCTTCAGTCTTTCCCAGCATCAGGGTCTTTTCCAACGAGTTTGGCTCTTTGCTTCAGGTGTCCAAAGTATTGGAGCTTCAGCATCAGTCCTGAAAATATACTGATTGTTAAAGACCCTAAGTCACAGAATAGAAGCACCATTACTGTGTTTGTAAATTTTTTTCCAATTAATGAAGTAAGTATACTCTTAAAAATTTTAGCAATACTAATAAATATTAAAATATCACTCAATGCTACTACTCAGGTAACCAGTATTAATAGTTTGGTGCTTTCCATTGTTTTTTTCAGTTGACAGAAGCAGATAAACAGAGGGAACATGCACACAAGTGATGTTATAAAGTAAGGATTTCCCCATATTGTTTAAAATCTCATATGAAAAGCATCATTTTAATGGTTGAACAATGTTTCACTCTGTTGATCCTCTAATTTATGGAGTCATTTTCCAATTTAGGGGTATTTAACTTGCTTTCAGGTCCCCCTCGACCTTTATTATTTACAATGGTTTGGAGAAAATCTTTGAGCATATTTTTCTCTGTATTTCCAGAAGTGACATTCCCGAGTAGAAAGGTATGATATGGTTAAAGGTCTTAATTATGTCTTAGAAAGGTGCCTTTCTGAGCAAAACAAACCAGAACAAGGAAATATGGTTGGAAAACTTGCTCTGGGCAAGAGCATTCCAGGGTCCTATTAACTGGTCTATGGATAAATTATTCCCTAACCTTCCATTAGAGCTAACCTGACTAATGTTGAATGCTCATAATGATGTCCTTTTGGAAAAATGGTAGAATTGCAGTTGTTTACTCTTCACATAAACCTCTTTCTCTTCTGTATTATTAATCTACTTTCTTCTTTATTAGAAAGCAGTGAATTAAAGTCTTATGTTTAAAAAGAGTAAAAAGTTTTAATATGTGTATGGTAAATACTTGTAACTCTCATGTATTAGCCTGCATCCAAAGCACCTGGAGAGGTAGCAGGCTTGAATTGCTTGGCACCAGTTGGCAAAGTGGGGTGGACCTTGAAAATTTACATTTCTGACAAGTTCCTGTTGCCAAACCCAATTTGTGTGCCTGGTGCACACTCAGTAAGCCCAAACAAACCGAACTGAGGGGGTTTAGAGCAGAGAAAAAGTTTATCAGAAGGGCTGAGCAAGGAAAATAGGCTGCTAGAGCTCAAAAAGTCCGAACTCGCTGAAGAGTCTTTATCTGCAAAACGTGGAGGGGAGGGCTGCAAGGTGTGTGATCTTCCCCTGTAGCAGTGTGGTGATGTTCCAGGAACCTCAGTCGTTAGACTTCTGATCCCAACCAGTCTGGGATCTAGAGCTTGTGCTCTGCCTAGAGTTACCATCCTCCACCTGGATGGGGTCTTAGTTCTTGTAGAGGAACTATCAGATCGTTACGTATAGCTCTCGAGGAGGAACCGGGCCCTGTCCCAGCGCCGCACTATTGTTTCTTGACTGCCTTTCCTTTGTTCCTGCATTTGTTCACTCTTGTGTTTGAATCTGTCCTCTGGAATTCTGGGGAATTCTAGGAGGCTAAACTGTTTCCTACAAGCAAGGAAGTGCGGGGACAAGGAAAGGCTTGTTTACATGGGCTCCTGCTTGGTTTCATTCCTGGGTGATGATGATGCCACTGCTCTAGAGGCTATACTTTAAAAACCATTGATATTTGCTAATGGATCTTTTAACCCTGGATTTAAAAAAAACTCTGGTTTTGATACCAGCATCAGTTTATTTTCAAATTTGGCAGGTAATTCTGGTGTAGCAGGGCTGAGAACACTGGTGTATACAATTAGTGAAGTTATATATGATGAAAAATTTTTAATAGAAATCAAGATTTAAAAAGACTAAGGTTAAAAGATAATCACCAAATTTAAGAGCCAGAACTAGTTTTTAGCCTTTTGGTCTATCCCTATGTGTAAACAACTTAAATTTCTGTAGGAAAACAATTCAAAATCTGGGATCTTTTGTAAAATGAGACAACAATAAGGTGATCACCAGTGTACTTGAACAGAAATTTTATAATGCAGTTTTTATAGGTGGCATTTCATGTTGTTAGAAATGATGTGATATAACATTATTAGTTATCATTACTATTATAGACATTTATAAACATAAGTTTTCTGGTATTACTTATCATTATCTTGTTAAAAGCCAGATATTTATGCTGGGATGGGGAGACCTATTCAATAGTAGAGTTTTTTAAGAGCAAGTTGTTAATCACAGTGTCCAGTAGGTGGCAATAATAATCTTTCATACAACTTTTAAATAGTTGTGTACTTACTGGAAAATACTTGTTTTCTCATTTGATTATACAAATGAAATAGCAAAAATACTTTATAGACAACTTGGAACTTTGTTTTAACTTTTATCATCGAATTTTTCAAGTATGCAGGAAAAAAGAACACCCATTTACTTAGCACCTAGCATCAGCAATTATCAGATTATGCTATTGTTCTAGATGTGTCTGTCCCTTCCATCTACCTACCACTCCCCAGCTTGTCCTCATCCTTGCCAGACTAATTAAAAGTAAATCTCAGTAAGAGTTTTAAGAATAATCAAGCTATAATTACAAGACGATTTTAGATTTTTCAGAACCCAGCTTATTTGTGTTCTGCTCTGGCCATTGAGGGCATTTAGGTTCTTAAGATTGCATTTTTCACGTAATAATGGGCAAAACCCCTTTTTCTAGTGCTTTGAGAATAGTAACATATTAGACAAAAGATTGTATATAAATATTAAATAGTTTAAAAAGTAAGAAAGAAAAAAGTTGGTGTCCTCACTTAAATTTTTGTTTTGAATCAAAATATGAGATTAGAAATGTAACTATTATAAGGAATAGGTTGAAATAATACGTAGCTTTCATTCTGAGGATATCCAAAGGAATAGAAAATATTCAGTCAGTTCAGTCGCTCAGTCATGTCTGACTTTTTGGGACCCTATGGACTGCGGCACGCCAGGCTTCCCTGTCCATCACCAACTCCTGGAGCTTGCTCAAACTCATTTCCATCAAGTCAGTGATGCCATCCAACCATCTCATCCTCTATTGTCTGCTTCTCCTCCTGTCTTCAATCTTTCCCAGCATCAGGGTCTTTTCTAGTGAGTCAGTTCTTCGCATCAGGTGACCAAAGTATTGGAGATTCAGCTTCAGCATCAGTCCTTCCAATGAATATTCAGGACTGATTTCCTTTAGGATGGACTGGTTGGATCTCCTTGCAGTCCAAGGGACTCTCGAGTCTTCTCCAGCACCACAGTTCAAAAGCATCAGTTCTTTGGCACTCAGCTTACTTTATAGTCCAACTCTCACATCCATACATGACTACTGGAAAAACCATAGCTTTGACTACACTTTAACCATAGCTTAAAGTTTCAAGATGGAGGAGTAGAAGGACATGTGCTCATCTACAAGAACTCCAAAATTACAGCTCACTGCTGAACAACTGCTGACAGGAGAGTGTTGGATCTTACCAAAAAAAGATACACCACGTCCAAGGGCAAAGGAGAAGCCCCAGCAAGACAGTAGGAGGGGCAAAATTGTGTTTGGAATCAAACCCCATATCCACCAGAGATGCTCGGAGAGCTCAAACAAACCTTGTACACACCAGGACCCAGAGTCTTACACCAGAACTTACGAATTACTGGGGAAACAGAAGCTTGGAGAGCACAAGCTAAATCTTGTGCACACCAGGACCCAGGAGAAACTGACCCCACAGGAGACTAACCCAGACTTTCCCATGAGTGTCCAGGAGTCTCCAGCAGAGGCGTGGGTCGGTGGTGGCCTGCTGCAGGGTCAGAGGCACTGAGTGAGGCAGTGTGTGCAGGGGACCTTTGAAGGAGGTCAACCATTATCTTCATTACCTCCACCATAATTTGGCCTCAGGTCAAACAACAGGGAGGGAACACAGCCCCACCCATCAACAGAAAATTGGATTAAAAATTTACTGAGCATGGCCCCGCCCATCAGAACAAGACCCAGTTTCTCCCTCAGTCAGTCTCTCCCATCAGAAAGCTGCCATAAGCCTCTTATCCGTATCCATTAGAGAGCAGACAGAATGAAAACCACAGTCACAGAAAACTAACCAATCAGATCACATAAACCACAGCCTTGTCTAACTCAATGAAACTATGAGCCATGCCACGTAGGGCCACTCAAGACGGATGGGTCATGGTGGAGAGTCCTGACAAAACGTGGTCCACTGGAGAAGGGAATGGCAAACCACTTCTGTTGTTTTCTTGCCTTGAGAATTCCATGAACAGTATGAAAAGGCACAAAGACAGGACACTGAAAGATGAACTCCCCAGGTTGGTAGGTGCCCAGTATGCTACTGGAGATTAGTGGAGAAGTAACTCCAGAAAGAATGAAGGGGTGGAGCCAAAGCAAAAACAACACCCAGTTTTGGATGTGACTGGCAAGAGATGTAAAGTCTGATGCTGTAAAGAGCAGTATTGCATAGGAACCTGGAATGTTAGGTCTATGAATCAAGGCAAATTGCAAGTGGTCAAACAGTAGATGGCAAGAGTGAACATCGGCATTTTAGGAATCAGTGAACTAAAATGGACTGGAGTAGGTGAATTTAACTCAGATGACCATTATATCTACTACTGTGGGCAAGAATCCCTTAGAAGAAATGGAGTAGCCCTCATAGTCAACAAAAGAGTCCGAAATGCAGTATTTGGATGCAACCTCAAAAACGACAGAATGATCTCTGTTCATTTCCAAGGCAAACCATTCACTGTGATACAGTAATCCAAGTCTATGCCCTAACCCGTAATGCTGAAGAAGCTGAAGTTGAACTGTTCTATAAAGACCTACAAGACCTTCTAGAGCTAACACCCCAAAAAGATGTCCTTTTCATTATATGGGACTGGAATGCAAAAGTAGGAAGTCAAGAGATACCTGAAGTAACAGGCAAATTTGGCCTTGGAGTACAAAATTAAGCAGGGCAAAGGCTAATAGAGTTTTGCCAAGAGAACACACTGGTCATAGCAAACACCCTCTTCCAACAACACAAGAGAAAACTCTACACATGGACATCACCAGATGGTCAATACTGAAATCAAATTGATTATATTCTTTGCAGCCAAAGATGGAGAAGCTCTATACAGTCAGCAAAAACAAGACTGGGAGCTGACTGTGGCTCAGATCATGAACTCCCTATTGCCAAATTCAGAAAGTACTACTGTATTCTTTTATTAAAAAGAAATAGAAGGACATTAGGTATTTGCAAGTAGAGAAGGGAAGAACACAGTGAAGAATTTAAAGAAAACAATGACCCATAATTCTTTAAATAACTGCTTAACATTTTGTTGTACTTTTTCTTTCTTCTTCTCATGTAGAAGTCTATTACCCCCGCTGCCCCCCCCTCCTGCCCCCTCCAAATAGCATGGTTGTGATCATGTTGGTATAGGGTAGGAAGAGAGGTTGGCTTTGGAGGTTTTCCACATGTCTAGGTCTTCAGGCTTTGATTTGAAAAAAGCCAACCAAAAGCAATTTTCAAGTATTTGCTAAATGAAAGGTTGAAAACTTCCTGTATCTTGTCATTATATGTTACATAAAACTTTATAGCATTGTTTCCTAAGTTGCTAGTTACTTTAATGAAAATTAATTTATGTAAATTTTTAAGTTAAATAGGATAACCCAATATTTCCCAAAGGGCAATGAGTATACCATTAGTGGCAAGAAAGACCAAGGAAGGAATTTCGATGGTAAGTGAATCACATCTTAGAATTACTAGTTAAGTATTTTTTACTGTATTATAGGAAAATATAACTTGAACATGAAAGAATATCACTTCATCGATATTGTTGCCTAGATTACTGTTTGTAAAGTCTGTTTAAAAACATGATGTATTTTTCAGTTGCTCAGTCGTGTCCTACTCTTTGCAACACCATGGACTGCAGCATGCCAGGCTTCCCTGTCCTCTACCATCTCCTGGAGTTTGCTCAAACTCATGTCCACTGAGTTGGTGATGCCATCCAAACATGTCATCCCCTTTTCCTGCCTTCACTCTTTCCCAGCATCAGGGTCTTTTCTAGCAAGTTGGCTCTTCACATCAGGTGGCCAAAGTATTGCAGCTTCAGCTTTAGCATCAGTCCTTCCAATGAATATTCAGGGTTGATTCCCTTTAGGATTGACTGGTTTGATCTCCTTTCAGTCCAAGGGACTCTCAAGAGTCTTCTCCAGCACCACAGTTTGAAAGCATAAATTATATAAATATGTAAACTATGTAAACTGCTTTTCAAAGTGTGCCTACCACTACTCTTACCTTAGACTGTCAACTACTAATCCATGGCTCTCGTGCATCATCCCCTGTGTCAGCGAGGCAGATTATGACAGATGATGTGACTCACAGAAGGCTTTCCCACCGATGGCTATGTGGTCTCAGGTATTTTTTTCTCTTAGTACAGTGCTTCATGTAGTCACACTGTTGACTAGAAGTGTATTGGAATATTAAAACACTCTTTTCCTCCTGTACCTCAAGGTACTAGGTAATCAACTGAGTCTTGACATTTTGTCAAATATTGCCACTGTCGGTTGGTCCTATATTATTATAAACTGACATAAATGCAGCTCATTCTTAGAAAGCTGTCATGTCAATCTATTACGTAGTCATGCTAACTGAGGAGCTGGCTTATTCTTACTTTATTCTTGTTTAGTTAAAAAATTTTTGTTTCCCTTTCTATTTTAATATTTGAATTTTTTTCACTTGGACTAGGAAAAATTCTGAGATGTTTACTGCAGCTTCATAGCTCAAAGTTAGGGAAAATGACTTAAAAAGAGGAGGAAAGATGATCCAGATACAAGGTTACACGTGAATGCTGGCAGTTTAGGAGGTTAGGGAGGCCTTCAGTGGCCTATGTGGATTTGGAGGATGTTGGTTATGTATGATATATATTGATTATAGCTTGTCACTTGAAATTAAAAATAGTATATGGTTTTGAATTACAAGTAGCTTTTTTCAAAGTGGAAAGCTAAAGAATGAGTTGCTTCTTAAAATTTTGACTAAGCTAACATGATAAAGTTGATGATTAAACCCTAAAAGATAATTCAAACCTGAGAGGAATAAAGAAGGGAGGGAGGAGGGATCAGTGAAAAATAAAAGGGTTTTGTGATATACATGAAACCAGGATTCAAGTTTTAGGAGTCATAGTTTATGCTGACATCACATTCCAACTCCAGCTGTTACCAAGCATTCACTTGCCTTATGAACCTCAGTCTTTTTGTCTATAACACAGTTGTAAGAAAGGTCACCCTTATTAACTCGAAGTGTTATGAAAACTAATCAGATAATATAAATGAAATTGTTTTATAAAATTAAGATACAATCAACTGCTGTTATCATAAATTCTGGGATAATATGTGAGCCTCAACATGTAAATAACTCAAACTAGGTTTTAAAAAAAATTTTTTTTTAAAGTTCTAGCTTTGCTTTTCTGCCCATAATGGAATAACATGTATCAGAGTTGTCCCTCTACCTGTGAACATCTAGAAAACTGGACAAAATATTTGAAGCAATTGTTTTCTGACATTGGAAAACATGCAGTACTTGAGTGTGTTCTCTGAATGGATGGAAACAAATGAGTCATACAGAAGCCTCAGCACTCTACCTGATGTCACTTTCCAGACCCCATACAGAAGAGGGAGACCAAGGAACGAATGACAGTCTCTGTATAGAAGTCACTGAGATCAGATTTTGGGAAGGTTGCGGCAGCTTCAGTTTGTGAGGCACAACACCAGAGATGTGGGAGCTATGCAGAGGAGCTCCAAGGCTCTGCAGGAGGTTTCATTGAGACTTTGTTCTGTGCTAAGTAAGATGCACATGCATAATATGAAATGCCATACGGCTAGATTAAATGCAATTACTGGGGAGCTGTAAGTTGAACAATTCCCAGAACCTACACGTGACTGAGACACACTTCAATTTTGGCCACCAGAGCGGCGAGTGAGCATTCAATAGATACCCTAGAGTTATGTCTTCAAATGGGGCTAAAAGAACTCTAGAGTAAAGGCTACTCTAGACCACCAATAACAATTTAAAAACAACCTAAAAGGATCAAACTAATTGGCAAGTAACAGCTTGCCAAATCTCACACTCTTTAAAACTGGAAAACAAAATCCAAAATTTTAAGAACGTAGCTTTTATAGTGTCTGTGTGTATGCCATTAGCTCAGTTGTGGTCGACTCTTTGGGACCCCATGGACTTAGCCCACCAGGCTCCTCTGTCCATGGAATTTTCCAGGCAGTATTACTGGAGCAGGCTGCCACTTCCTACTTCAGGGGATCTTCCCGACCCAGGGATCAAAACCGCTTTTCTTGAGTCTCCTGCATTGGCAGGCAGACTCTTCACCACTGTGCCACATAGGAAACCCTACCCAATAAAAATTATGACAAACAAATGAGCAAGAAATTGTGAAGCAGAAAATCAGTTAGTAGAAACTGACTCAGAAATTATGGAAATGAATGAAAAAGCTGACATGGGCTTTAAAACAACATTGTAAATATGCTCAAGTATGTAATGGAAAATATGGACATAATGAGGAGAGAAATGGAAGAGATTAAAAATAGGCAAAGGGAACTTTAGAGCAGCAGTGCAACTTAGAAATATAATATCTGAATGGCAAATTCACCTATGGATTATCAGCTGATTACTCACCACAGAAGAAAAGAAGCATGACTTGAAGATACTGCAATAGAAACTATGTAAATTGAGATACTGAATGAAAGTAATAATAAAAAGTCAGATCCTCAGTAATCTAAGGAATATGATCTCACATATGCATAATTAGAGTATCTTAGTATGGC